TATATATATATATATGTGTGTGTGTGTGTGTGTGTGTAATTAAGTTTAATGAAGACTTACATTTTCATATATTTCTGTGTATAATATATCGTGACTTTCTTCTTACTGACAAAAAAAGATGTTTTTCGAATGTTTTTTAAGTGGTTTATCATCAATATATTACTTGTACTACCAATTATATTATTGTTTTCGGACTCATCTTAGATTTACCTGTTTCTAGTGCACTGAAGTGTGAGTGTGAAGCATCTGTTAGTGACACTGATGAATGAGTGTCGTCTGCACATGAGCGCTGTGCTTTAATAATGAGAATCAGATGCTCCAGCTCGTACTGTATGTGATGGTTTCCACACTGAATGCTGCACTGCTGTCATGAACGACCCTGACAAAAACCAGCCAGTTAGTCGGTCAGTTTTTCCTGCTAAATGTTGTTAAGTAGATAGTAAAGCATTGCTAGGGTGTTGTTCCTGGTTGCTGTGTGGTTGCTGAAGTGTTCTAGATTATTTATAGTGTGTTACTAGGTTACTAGGGCATCGCTAGGGCGTTGTGGATGGTTGCTATGCGTTTTTTTCTTCCTGTATGGTGTGAATTGTCTTAGTGATCCTCTGGTCTTTAGTCTGACTCGGGTCCCTCCTTCAGTGTGTGGAGTTCTTTTTAAATTTTATCTTCCAGCAGGTGAAAATCGTGAGAGAACACACAACTAAGAGCACCTGTACCAGTGACTGTCTTTAACAGCACTATTATTAGCATCTTTAATAACCGTCCGTGTGTGTGTGTGTGTGTGTGTGTAGATATGTTTGGCTCTGCTGACGTGAGGCCTTTGATGTCCCAGCGCTCTCTGCCCGGCACACCAGTCACCCACAAACACCTGCCCATCAACCTGCGCACATCCATGGACGGCAAATACAAGGAGATCGCGGAGGTGTGCGACTGTGCGTTTGTTTCTAACGTGTGTGATTGTAATGCGTGTGGTTGTAACGTGTGTGTATAATTGTAACGCACGTGTGTTTGTAACACATGTGTGATTGTAGCGTATGATTGTAATGTATGTGGTTGTAACACGTGTGTGATTGTAATGCATGTGTGTGTATGATTGTAATGCGCTTTTGTAACGTGTGTTTGTAACACGCATGTGATTGTAACGCATGTGTGACTGTAATGCATGTGTGTGTTTGTAATGTGTGTGTAACGTGTATGATTGTAACGTGTGTAACACGTGTGTTTGTAACGTGTGTAACGTATGATTGTAACGTGTGTTATTGTAACGCGTGTTTGTAACACGTGTGATTGTAACGTATGATTGTGACGTGTGTGTTTGTAACACGTGTGTGATTGTAATGCATGTGTGTGTATGATTGTAACACTCTTTTTTAACGTGTGTGTTTGTAACATGCATGTGATTGTAACGAATGTGTGGCTGTAATGCATGTGTGTGTAACGTATGATTGTAACGCGTGTGTGTAACACGTGTGTGATTGTAAACCATGTTTGTAACACGTGTGTGATTGTAACGTAAGATTGTAACGTGTGTGTTTGTAACACGTGTGTGATTGTAATGCATGTGTGTGTATGATTGTAACTTGCTTTTGTAACGTGTGTGTTTGTAACGTGTGTGTGATTGTAGCACGTGTGTGCGTTTGCTCTTCAGCGTGAGTGTTTGTAACATGTATGTGTGTGTAACGCATGTGTAGGAGCTGCTGGCAAGGAGTCTGACGGACAGCGACATGCGTTGCGCTCCGTACGAGTTTCCTGAAGAGAGTCCCATTGAACAGCTGGAGGAGAAACGCCACCGTCTGGAGCGACAGATCAGTCAGGACGTCAAGTACAACCCGCACACACACATCCTAACTGTGTGTAATGCAACTAATTTTTTTGCGCACACTGAAAGCCAATCAGTATATATTTCATGTTTAAGGTTCATTACGTGGAATTGTAATTTTTTAATAAAATATTAAAAACAAGCACATAAAAAAAACAAAGTAAAATAAAAAATAAAATGGGAATATTATTAATCTTAAAGATATTTATTAATAATATTGGTAATATTATTTATTATTAATAATAAGCTACTTCTAATATATTTAGTAAGCTATTTTATATAATTTGTTAAATAAACTTATAAATACAGCAACTTTCCCTTCCAACTGTGATCCTAAAGGTCTTTGACCGAGTTGTTAGACTGATTTTTTAAGCATATTTCAGAGTATTTTAAGTCTTTTAATCAAGCAAATTATGTTTTGAGAACCTTTAAAGTTTCTGAAAGTCAAAAAATCATTTGTTTGTGAAAACTTGGCCTAGAGTGTATTATAACGGCTTCGCACCTGCTCAGGCGTTTTGTTTGCGATCTGTGTGAATTCTTTGCTTTGAACACACCGACCCAAAACACCCAACAAACACCGCAGACATTCATAATCGCACACAGACACAAAAAGCCACAGTTTGGCCGCGTTTCAGCCGTTTGTGTGGGTGTGTTTGGGTTTGTGTCTCTTACAGATGCTTAAACACACACTCTTTCTGCTCGGGTGGAGAGTTTGAGATTCCTTCTGCTGCATTTTAAATGAAAGTGATTTAGAAAAATCAATCCGAGTGATTTGTACTCTCTCATCTCGTGTGTGTGTGTGTGTGTGTGTGTGTTACTCACTCAAATCTGCCGCTTCGCCTCACATCCTTCAAGGCTTGAGCCCGAGATTCTGCTGCGAGCGAAACAAGACTTCATGAAAATAGACAGCGCAGCAGACCTGGAGTGAGTCACTGCTATCTGTCCATCTGTCTGTCTGTCTCTCCGTCTGCATCTCTCAGCTCATGTGTCCGTCTGCAGGAGTCTGAAGGACAGTCATGTGGACGTGGTGGACCAGCACCATATGGAGCAAGAGCCGCTGATGGAGAAAAACTTCCAGCGCGTGTCCATCTCAGGAGACGAGAAGTGTGGGGTGAGAACCAGAGAAACCAGCTTCAGTTAGTTTGCATGAAAAATGACAATAAAACAGAGATATAACGTTTACAGCACTTATTAATCTGGGTTGTGCACCTTTGTATGTGTGCTAATACATTTTAACAAGTGCAAATTAACCTCAGGTAGTATTTTTGTAGCACTTTTCACAATGTTAATAATACTAAAAAGCAACCTACAGAATAAAAACACAGAATATTTTAACTTACTGCAACAAAATTCTTGCTAGGTGTGAATCTTCCATTTTCATTTTGAAGAAGAATTAAAATAAATTGAAGAAATTTCAGTATCACTTAAGAAAACCTTGAATCCTTGAATGAGGTGATAAATCAATAATTCATTTGAAAACATTTTCAAAATTTTTTTTAAATCAAGTAAGCAATCAATTATTAACATGTGAATAAATATTTGATAAATCATTTGATAAAATCAGTTTAGTCTTTGTTTTTTAGTTAAAAATATTAACAATTATTTTCCTTCATTGAAATATAGCTGAATTAGAAATATTAGATGAAAAACTTAAACTGCAATTCAAAATGAAATTTAGCTAATATAGAAATTACTAATAAAACAAAACAAATCTGTATTAGCATGATTTTTATACAGAAAAAGTTTTCGTCTAACTTCTTTAAGCTTTGTTCTTTAAAAAATCTTGATATTAATTTTTCTCCAAGTTTTGTTCTTTAAAAATTTGCTAATGTTAACTTTTCTCTAAGTTTTTTTTATTCATTATGTTTTGTTTTTTAAGCAGTTCTTAATATTAAGTTTTATCTAAGTTTTTTTCTCTAAGTTCTGTAAGTTTTGTTCTTTAATTATTCTTAGTTTTTTCTCTAAGTTCTGTAAGTTTTGTTCTTTAATTATTCTTAGTTTTATTGTTTTTTCTCTAAGTTCGATAAGTTTTGTTCTTTAAAAACTCTTAATATTAAGTTTTCTCAGTTTTTTCTGAGTTCTGTAAGTTTTGTTTTTTAAATATTCTTAGTTTTATTTTTTCTCCAAGTTCTCTAAGCTTTGTTCTTTAAAAAATCTTGATATTAAGTTTTCTCTAAGTTTTGTTGTTTAAACATTTGTTAATGTTCAGCTTTCTCTGTTTTTTACTACATTCTCTGTTTTGTTCTTTAAGCACTTCTTAATATTAACTTTTATCTAAGTTTTGTTCTTTATAAAATTCCTAAAATTTAATTTAAATTTAACTTAATTTCCTTAAAATTTAGTTTTAAGTTTTGCTCTTAAATTTTTTTTATATTAATTAGGTTTTCTCTAAGTTCTAAGTTTTGTTCTTTACAAATTTGTTAATGTAAAGCTTTCTCTGTTTTTTTCTACGTTCTCTGTTTTGTGCTTTAAGCAGTTCTTAATATTAAGTTTTATCTAAGTGTTTTCTCTCTAAGTTCTGTAAGTTTTGTTCTTTATAAAATTCCTAAAATTAAGTTTTCTCTAAGTTCTTTAAATATTCTCAGTATTAATTTTTTCTCTAAGCTTTGTTCTTTAAAGATTCTTAATATTAAGTTTTCTCTAAGTTCTCCAAGTTTTGTTCTTTAAAAATTCTTACCATTAATTGTTTTCTCCAAGTTCTCAAATTTAAGTTGTTTTGAGCATGTTTAGATATTTTTACTGTAAAACAGGACAAATACACTGATTCACTGTTGTTGACTGATTCTAGATGGATTCTTGTGGCGTTTGTGTGTTCAGGTGCCGTTCACGGATCTGGTGGATGCAGCGAAGTGTGTTGTGAAGGCCTTGTTCATCAGAGAGAAGTACATGGCTGTGTCTCTGCAGACCTTCTGTAAAACCACGGCACGATCCCTGCAGGAGCTCGGCCAGAGACCGCCGGACATCGACGCGCTCGAGGACCTTCACGACAGTCCCGTCGACTCAGGTGTGTGTGAGCACCTCGACATGCTACAGAGCCCAGCACAAGCCAGCTCTGACCTGTGTGTGTGTGTGTGTGTGTCTCAGACATGTCCGTTCACCCGCCGGTGTCAGAAACACACCCGTACGAGGGCCAGGACATGAAGAACCTGCCGCCGGACTCCGGATACAGCTGCAGGATGGTGGATGGAGTCATTCACGTCTACACTGCACAAAACCCCACGGACGAGTGAGTTTCGGGGACAAACCGACTGCAAACGTCCTCTGAATTAGCTAAATTTAGCTAAACCTCCTTTTGGGGACGTCCTCGAAAGGGAAAATAGATCTTGAAGACACATGAGCCTGTTTCAAACCCTCGAATAGCCTTAACAGCAATGCACTGAAAAAAAACAGAAACAGTTTTCACACGAAATGTTGAAGTAGAAAGACTGAAATTGTTTTTTCTTGTAAAACATGCTCTAATAATTGTATTTTATGAACAACTTTGAATCAAATCATTGTAGAAGCTAACAAGTAAACAAACAATAAAAAAAATATATATATATGTATATGTATATATATATATATATATATATATGTATAAAATTGTATTTATATATAGACTTATATATGTATTTTAATAAATAAAAAAGCTTCATTGCACACAATGCAGTGCATTCTGAATTTCAGATGCTGAATTTCAATTCAAATTTTAATTCTAACAAAGTAGAATCAGTGTTATTATTTTTAACTAAAACTATTTAAAAAACACATTTATGTTAATTGAAAAAAAGAAAATATAAAAACACTTATTTTATTCTTTGCAGGGTTATTATTGTTAACTATAACTACAACCATTTAAAAAAAACATTTGTGTTACTTAGTAAAATAAACATTAACTGAAACAAAATAAAATAACTTAAAATTAAACTAATTTTATTTCAGCTAGTTTGTAGCTAGGGCACATTTCTAATTTTCAATTAGCTTAAGTTCTAAAATGACGAAAACAATTAAAATAATAAAAACTAAATAGGCATATTTAAAAAAAATATTCAAACCAACAAAAACACACAACAAAATTACTAAAACTTACTTTAAAATTAAAATTAATACAGAAAATATAAGCAATCAATGATCAACATGTGAATAAATATATAAAAGATGCAATTTGACAATAGAAGGTAATAAACAAATTTGAAAATACAAGTTAAATTTGGCTAATATTAAAAATTTATAAAAAGAAATCATAATCTTCAAACAATGACATCATTAACTATGCATAAAAATATTTAAAAAATGTAACTTAATAAAATAAACATTAACCGAAATTAAATTTGTACAGAAATTAAACTGCTTTATTTCAGCTAGTTTGTAGCCAGGACACATTTCTTATTTGTGTTTAGTTTAAGTACTAAAGTTACTTAAATAAAAAGTAAATGGGCAAAAAAAATTAATTAATTAAAAAAATAAAAACAACATAATTACTAAAATGTTAACTAAAATTAAAATGAATACAAAAATTATAAAAATAAATAACAAATTCAAAATATTATATATTAATATATACTAAAATAGTACAATTTAAATGAACTGATATTCAAAGAAATTCAATCTAGAAAATCAAACAAATAACTATATAAATGTGAATAAATATTTAAATGATTATGTAATTTGACAACAAAAATAATCAATAAAACACAAAACTGAAAATACTACTGATAGTATAATAATAATGCTAATCTTCAAACAACAAAAAGTGTCTTCATGACAGGAGCGTGTGCATATATGATGCCTAAAAACACTCACTATGTAGGCGGCACACTAGGGTTGAAACGGTTTGCTTTATAGTTTGTGTCAGCGCTTGAATACAGCTTGAACAGAACAGCAGGACGTCTGTCGTTTAAGTAAACGTTAGTGAATCGTCCGCAGGAGCACCGAGCTGGACCTGCCGTATCCAGACCTGCAGGAATACATCGCCGACATGACCCTGATGATGGCGCTCATCATTAACGGCCCCGTGTGAGTGCCTCGTTTCCCAGCATGCACTGGGCTCGGCGCACACCTGTGCGTTCTGCCGCGTCTGATGTGTGTGTTTCTCTACAGAAAGTCGTTCTGTTACCGGCGGCTGCAGTATCTGAGCTCTAAGTTTCAGATGCACGTCCTGCTGAACGAGATGAAGGAGCTCGCCGCGCAGAAGAAGGTGCCACACAGAGACTTCTACAACATACGCAAGGTGAAATATCAATTAATGCATCATTCAATCATCAGTATGTACATACATAAATAAGCCAAATGGAAGTACAACTCAATATTTAGATTTTTTTGCACCCTCAGATTCCAGATTTTCATATGATGCATAAATCTCAATTTTGAAAATTTACACTTAAGACTGGTTTTGTGGTCCAGGGTCAAATATAGAGTTATAGAATATTAAATCTAAGGTAATATAAATTGAATTTACTAGTATAGTAATAATTATAAAAATGAAAATATTTGTATTAAATATTTATAATAAATAAATATAATTCTAAATATATGTAATAAACATATGCAATGTATATAATAAGTATATAAATAATATAATACTACTAATAATGAACAGTATTAGAATATTAAAATGTATAATATTTGAATATTAATGTACAGCATTAGAATATTGAAACATATACGCTATTAAAATGATTATTGAAAATTAAAAATAATTAATATAATATTATTTTTTTAAATGTTAGAAAAATATACAACAAAATATAAATATATTATAGAAAATATATTTATCTTTAATATAATGATATTATATAATATTTTACATATAATGTATAATATTGTATAAATATTAATAAGTACACAATATTTTAATAAATACATTTTCAATTTGTGTGTTGACTTTTCTATTAAGCAAATTAAATTCAAATTACAACTATAAACAAACAACAATTGCAAAGGATTGGAAAAAGCCAATTCATAAATTCAAAATTTGGCACCAAAGAGATTCTCGACGAGAAAAACGACGTGAAAAAAGCGCAACAACTAGATCTCGCTCGAAATAAACTGCTGTCAAAACCGATTGGTGTTTCATAGAGCCTCGTTTGTGAAACGCCAGCAGAATGAATTAGCGTGTGAACTGTCTTCAGGTGGACACACACATCCATGCCTCGTCCTGCATGAACCAGAAGCACCTGCTGCGCTTCATCAAGCGCGCGATGAAGAAATATCCGGACGAGATCGTGCACACGGAGGGCGGCCGCGGACAGACGCTGATGGAGGTGTTTGAGAACATGAACCTGACGGCGTACGACCTGAGCGTGGACACGCTGGACACCATGTGCCTGTATGATGGGACCCAGTGATGTAGTGTATATGGAGAAAATTGGTAAGTTGGCAACACTGACGCTAACACAGCGAGTCACGTGACACCTGCCGCTTTGAACAATTATTAAATTATTATTGTTATTATCAAATTGAACAACTGCGAATAGCAGTAACTTAATTCACGTGATGTGTGTACTGCTAGGAATCTTTGGTTTCCTCTTTTTGTGAAATTTAGATGGAAAATGTGTGCCTTTTTATTGTTTTTTGAGTCACTTATCAAAAGTTGCTAAAAGTAGCCAAATAAAATTTAAGAATAGCTACATTTGTTGCTAGGTGCTTTTGGAAGAATTTCAAGAAAACGTTGCTAGGGTAGTCTGAGAAGTTGCTAAATCTAGCAACTAAATTTACATTTAGTAATTTTGCCGACGCTTTTATCCAAAGCTGAGAGATAGAGCTGTGTATCATCAGCATAGCAATGGTAGGAGAAGCCATGTGCCTGTATGATGGGACCCAGTGATGTAGTGTATATGGAGAAAATTGGTAAGTTGGCAACACTGACGCTAACACAGCGAGTCACGTGACACCTGCCGCTTCCTCCGCAGGACAGGAACACCTTCCACCGCTTCGACAAATTCAACTCCAAATACAACCCCATCGGAGAGTCCATCCTCAGAGAGATCTTCATCAAGACCGACAACCACATCCACGGGAAGTACTTCGGACACATCGTCAAGGTACAGACCACAGTTCAGTGCAATTCATGACATACAGTTACTGGAATATCAATGTGTTTATAAAACATGTAATATATGCATTTCTATAAACACATTCAAAAATACATGAATTATGTGTTTAACCTTAAAAAATAAATTCATTTAGCACATTATAAATATTTAAAATAATGAAATGTCAATTAATAAATCATGAAATCAAATGAGAAATAGATTATGAGCATGTGAATAAATTGATTAAATAATAAGTACATTTTATTATTATCAGTATATATATATATAACAAAAAATAAATAAAACTGAATATGCTAGTAATGCCCAAAATTATCAAAATTAAAATATGTATTTATAAATATGTGATGTATAATAAATATAAATATTAATAATATAATAATGTTTAGTACTGGAATATT